TATATATATATATATATATATATATATATATATATATATATATATATATATATATATATATATATATATATATATATATATATATATATATATATATATATATATATATATATATATATATATATATATATATATATATATATATATATATATATATATATATATATATATATATAAAACTTCCTTGGATGATCAAGGAAGCATTACGCTCACCCTTCATTAAGGATAAGATCCAAAAGGGGCTTGTTTCTACACTTCAGGGTAAGGCTTTAAAAGCGACAAGGGAGGCCATGAAGAGTGCACAATGCATAAGAGCTATCAAGCTGAAAGGTACGCGACATCCAGTTCTCCTTGCCTGCGCCAACATTGACGTACCGATCATAACGCCATTGTGTGAACATCTCATCGACTACGAATAAAAGGGAGGTAATCTTGAGCTTCTTAACCTAGTGTTTTCTACTGGATTTTTCTTGGGGAACTAGACGCTTTTCTTGGGTTGTACAATATCTTTTCTTCGAAGGAAGAATTGGTGCAAGGATTTTACTTCCAAAGACAGTTGTGATTTCTGTTTTCTTATCTTCCTGTTATTTTTGGACTTACAAATGGTTGGTGTCAAGCCTGGGAAGTTATGTATAAGTTTCAATTAAGGTGCAGATTCCAGGCTGCTCTCTAGGTAGAGGAGATTCAGCCTTTCTTTCCTGGTTGGGATGTATTTGATTTATATTTTGTGCTGGGAAGTTATTTTACTTTGAAACAAAGAGGAACTTGGAACTTTGATTTGCTTTCGGTCCAAGGGCAGGCTGCCAGGCTCCATGCAGCTGGTCCTTTGTCATCCTTTGCTTGGCTAGGCAGCATATATTGTGCCGCTGGACATTTCAAGGACAATAATGGCGTATTTGTGGACTCCACCATTTTCCTCATGCTGATCCAAGTCAAAGCTGCCAAACAATCTGGTTGCTTTTTATTTGATTGGTTTTTCATCCTAGTGGCTTTTGTAGTGAACTTATTTCTTTGGGCTTTTGTCTTTTGTCTTTTCTTTTCTCTATGTTTCTGGACTACAGGCTACTTTGTAGGGGTCTCGGCCTACCCCCACCCTTGTACTTTTCTTTTATTTCTAATAAAAATATTATTAATAATATATATATATAAATAAAACATTTTATTTTTCTATTTTACAATATACAAATTAAATATTATCGTTTCTTTTAATCCTACTCTTTAAATTGTCCACACCCATATAGGTACTATAAAACAGGCCCTAGTATTGACTCTACACCAATACTATAAGTAATAAGCAGTATTTAGCAACACATTATTACCCCTAGATTATAAGTTCAGGCGTTTGCTCCGTCAAAACCTTTCCAAACTCCGTGTAACATAGAACCCTTTGTCCCGATGTCTTAACTTAATGCAAGGGAGATAAAATCCAGTCTGTACCATTAAGTTATTCACTGATCAACAAGTCTGACTGAGAGGACAAATGTCTTAACTCATCATAGCATGGCCATGCATTTTCTCGGTTATCTTATTTGTGGGCCCAACAAGACATAAATTTATCTTAAATAGAAGTGTCAAATCCTATGTACATAATTTACGTCTCCAAATACGCTCAGCAGCATACCCAACACAAAGCCTGTATACCATCCTTATTTCATACGGCTTAGAACGATGAATCAAACTATGCAGGTTCGCGTTTTTGAAAAATGTAATACTTCAAGTCTAAGGATCGTTACACCCATAATCGCGCTAAGGACACTTAGAGCTTGGACCAAAAGGTCTATGCAATGCCCTTAAGGTGGGTCATGTCTGGCAATCCATTATTTACAATAATGTCTGCCCGAATGTAGATGCGAACTCTCTGTCATTGACCAAGAGACTAGGTCAAACATCTAGCACTCGCTAGTCTCAAACTTTTTAACGATATCCCACTCTCGTCAATACTTTGACTATGGACCGTTAAGAATTATATCTTTACAAGACGTCAATCTCAACATCAGAAAACTCAATCTGATAAACATCTTTCAAATATAATTCTAAGAATGTAATAGTCATTTATATTAGCATGAAATCTATGTAAACATATTACATCTGCCTTTACATGATAGAAAATATCTAGGACATTACAACAACAGTTGGCCATAAGGGCACCAGCTGCAATAGAGGATATATAGCCGTATTAGTCCTTGGGGTAAAGGTTTAAGGATAGTCTTTGAAATCCTTAGGGGAACAGTCGAAGATAGCTGTGTAATCTTCATTTTAAGTGGTTCGATATAGTCGTCGTAAAATCTCAGAGTGAATCCTATTAGCAAGGGTTGTTTGCCAAAACTAGTGCGGTGCTTTGACAGAGTTCAAGAGATTGAGAGTTAGTGGATTCAAAAATCCTTGAGGAGGAGCCTCGAGGTAATGGAGTAGGGAGTTCCCGAACCAGTATAAAATCGACGTGCTTTTTATTTTTTCTTTTATTTCTATGTTTTATATATTGCTTTCGCATTTGCCTTCACCATTTTTATCAAACACTAAAAAGTTTTTAAACGCCTTATGCGCAGATAGGGACAAACAAGCTTTTTCTGATTGGATAATCAAAGTTGGATATGGAAAGTTTATAAAAGTAATTAATGAAATAACTGACGTTGACTGTCTAAATTCTTGATTCTAGACACAAGTTATACCCTCTAGAGTGTGGTGGACTTCACTTATCCAAACCTATTAGAGAATATGAAAAATTATTCCTTTTTTAGAATAAGGCACTACTCGCACCTACGTTCGAGATTACTGAAACGGTAAATGAATTTGTCATATCTTTCATTCCCTGAGATTAAAGTTCTAGAGAAGACAATTCTCAATAGTCATACGTTTTGCAATTACTATCAACAAAAGTCAAAGCCAAATTCAAATATTTTCATTTGTTAGACTATATTTAACCAAGTGGGTATTCATTCATGGTCAGCTTTATGTTGCTATTTCAGGAGTGAAGACAAGGACATGATATAAAATATTGGTTCTAGATAATAATTGAAGCCACCGCAATCTTACTAAAAATGTTGTATACACTAAAGTCTTTCAGAAAATTTAGTATTAAAACAAACTTTGTTGATTACACATTCAATTTCTCAAATATTGTTTATTCTACTTTGACATTTTTGTCTATAGTATTAAAAATCATGGCAAAAATATATTTTCTTTGTTTTGGAAAAAACATAGCATTTAAAATGTTTCCAAATTGACAAAAAGTTTGTTCAACCCCGTGCATCGCACGGGTAAAAATATATAAAATTGACTCTTGATTTATAATATTCTCTTTATCACATAATTCTTTTTACATTTGACTTGACATAGAATTTAAAAAAATAAAATGTGTATGGTTAAAAATGATATAGAAGAGAAAGAATTTATAAGAACTATACAATTATTTTGAAAAGTTAAAATTTTATGGGACCCATTTGGTGCAAGGGATATAAACCGGGAGATGGTGGTAAATTATATGGTACAACCGGGTGAATCTTTATCTTGGTACATTGTGACAAATGTATAATTAAAAGAATATTTCAGAACATGTTTTAGAACGAACATTATATTGTTTCAGAATAAACACTTCAGTTGAAAGTGAACATTCTATTAATTTAAAATAAACATTTTGTTGATTAAAAATGAATATTGGACAATTATATTTAGATCCTAAGTCAACTATATATCCTTTAATATAATAAAGGAGACTCGGATGCACAGAAATTGGATATTCGGCATGTCTATGTGGCAAAATTTAAACATGTCAGCACGCCACGTAATATCCGAGTAAACCAGCGGAAATCCTTGACAGTCGGTTTACACCCTAATAGGGGGGTGAATTAGGGTGTTTGGAAGTTTTTTGTAAAAACAAAAACTTATGTGCAAAGTAGTAGCGGAAAAAGAGCAAGAAAAGTATAAAAGATAAAAATACGACACAAGCAATTTTATACAGGTTCGGGAACTCCCTACTCCAGTACCTCGAGGCTCCTCCTCAAGGATTTAACCTCCACTAACTTGTTTCACTTCACTAAGAAGATTCAAACGAGGTTTGGCAAACAACCCTTGCCAATAAGCAAATGAGATTTTACTACGCCTACCTCAACCGTTTACAACCGAAGATTTTAAGGTTATCTTCAACCTTACAATGAGGATTTAAAGGCTATCCACACCTTTTACAAATCAATAAAAGATTGGTGTTGCTTCTCTACCAAAATAATAACCAATATGAATTGGGTAGGAGAAGAACAAAAGATTAAATCAAGAACAACAAAAGCCTATAGGCAAGATATAAAATAATGAATCACAAATGCCCTTGTGTATGAGTGTATAAAAATAATGGAAGCTTTTTACTCAAAAGAGTAAGAAAAATAAGAACAAAGCTTTAGGAACACTCAAGAATAGAGAAAGAGGCTTTAGATTTAATTGGGAAGTTGTTGTTTATAAAATGAGACTTAGAGGGGGTTTATATAGGAGTTTGGAATGTTAAAATTTGAGTTTTTAATGTTAAATGCCGTTAGGAAGTGATTAGGGGTGATTTGAATTTAAATTGGCAATGTGCTACAGTGCTGATAACGGATACGGTACCCTTCACGGTAGGGTCAGTACCGTCTGGTACCTAGGTACTGTGACCACGTTACAGCCTACCGTTTGGGGGTACCGTATAGGCCAAAAAATGGAGTTTGGCTCTGGCGGTACCTGGTTAGGACGGGGGTGGCCAACCGTCTCTGCCAACCGTCGGTACCCAGGTACCGTCAAATGGTAGGGGGGGTACCGTGTACCACATAGTTGAAACGTACAGCCTACCGTTCACTTGGCTACCGGAGGTACCCTGGTGCCGTGTACACGGTAGCCAGGTACCGTTAGACATGTGCAATTTTTCCATAACTCGTTTTTCATGTTCTAACCCCAATTAAGAATATATTTGACATTTTTAAAAATAAGTTTTGAGTGAAAGGGCATAAGTAAATCATAAAAATATATCATTACCTTTACACAACAATTTCTAAGCTCGTAGGAGTATGTCTCGGTGATGCTAAACAAGCTAATAGAGGTTTGGCATTTGTTTTAATCCTGCAAATAATGTTAGTAGCATTGGAAGACTTATTTAGCACATCAAAACATTTACGGGGTACGGAATTCAAGGCCAATAATCTCTCATTTTTTGATGTTGACAAATAAGGCTTTTGAATATAATAATCAAACACACAAACATATCGTGAAAAGCATATATTGATTTTAAAACTCCCCCTAAGTTGATGCACATGATATTTTGACAAAAACTCCCCCTAAATGTATGCATATGAAAGCCTAATATTTCTCCCCCTTTTGGCAACATTCAAAAAAGGTGGGGTACCAAAAGCATGAGTTTCAACACAAAGGCTTTTATCACGGCAATCAAGAAGCATTCAAGTAAACCACAAGCATCATCAAAGCACACGCATAACAAAGGGGTTTTCAATCATAAAAGTGCATAAATACGAGTTTGAAACATAAGACATGATAAGGAGTTTTAAAACATAAAACTAAATACATCATTGTTTTGAAAACATAAAGAAGAGAATGTTTGATCATTTTGTCAAATGCCCAACACTTAGCGACGATGTCTAGAAGCACGATCCTCATTTTGCTTTTGGCGATTCTCACGGTCCTCCATTTTCTTCATGCGATCCGAGAGGTCATCGAGGCTTTCTTGAAGTTTTTTCATCGGAGCCACCACGGTCTTGAGAATGAATTTCTTGAACTTCTTGAAAGGATTTTTAGAAGTGGAGGCCATGAGGGAGTGACGATGCATGAGAGAGGCTGATGAAGCATGAGACGCCGACTTTGAACGTTTGACCCGAGGAACACGAATGGGGACTTCCGTGTTGGCATTTTCTTTGGCTATGGCTCGGGGTGCTCGGGAAGTGGAAGGCGAAGATGACATGGAACGCCAAGGGCCATACTCGGCTCGTGTCGCCTCATCAAGATTTTGGAACTCCTTCTTCATGTAGTACTCCTCTCTAATCTTTACAAGGCCACAATACCCAAGGCACTCCGCATGCCATAGGGTTTGTTTTGGCGATTGGAGCATTCATGCACGTGTCTAAGGATGATGGAAGGGAGATTGATTTTCTTGTGGAGGAGGAAATATAGGAGAGTGCATTCATAGACCCTGACTTGTTTATCTTTGTTAAGGACGGTGATGACATTTTCTTTGAGGATTTTGAGGAGGATAAACCTATTTGCGGTCAAGTCTTGGACATTTGGCCGATGGAGGAAGTAGTGCGGGTCCTCAAAGACATGGTCAAGGGCAATGTTATTTAGCACTCGGAGGCAAGAATCGGAGTTAAAGTCTCGTGAGTCGGTAATCCACCCCTTTTTGCAATAGGTGGAGACTCCTTGACGCTCTAGGTGAAACCATTCGGAAAGGTTTTGGGTGTTGAATCTGAAGGTTTTGCCGGCTACAACGGCGATAATAGAAGGGTCTTGGGGATGATAATTAATCGAAGAATAAAATTGATGAACAAGTTCCAGGTAAACGGAGGCTTGGAGTTGAAGAAAGAAACTCCAACCTTGTTCTTGAATAAGTTCAAGAATGGCAACCGAAATTTCATCTTGTTTTAGGGTTCTCCCCTCGATGATATGTGGGTTGGAGTAAGCGTTGAACCCGTCTTGAACATCGGCTTGAGCATTGGTTTGAACATTGGAAACAATTTCACTCATTTTGGAGATTTTGAGAAAAATGGTAAAATTGGACGAAAATGGGGAGATTGATACCAAATGCACAAATTGAAGAGAGTATATGAAGTAATTGATGAATTGAATCAAATATATGAAGAGATTTAAGAAATTGGATGAAGAATTACCTAGGTTGAGGGAGAAACCAACTTACGGGAGAGAGAGACGGGAGGAGACGCCGGAACAAAATGCAGAGACTGGTAGAACCGAAGTGGGAAAACTAGGGGTTTTAATGAAATTTGACGCGATGTGACGGTTGGTACCTTGGTACTGTGTGAACGGTACCTTGGTACCATGTATACGGTATGGTGTACCGTGTCCAGCTACCGTGAAGCTTCCAAAATCCCATTCTCCTCTAGCGGTACTTAGTTAGGACGGGACCTTGGTACCGTCAAAGGTACCGTGCCTCAGCTTACTGTTTTGTTTCGACCTCTAGACGCGTGTTTTGAGCATTTGGACTTGATCAATTTATTTTTATGATGTAATGGGGTAATAAGAACCTTAAATTTAACTTTTATTCAAGCATTCCCATTTCCCGACAAATATGTAAACATTGTTTTTCATCCAATGGTTTTGTAAAAATGTCGGCACGTTGTTCAAGCATATTTACATATTCAATTTGAATGTCTCCCTTTACAACATGATCACGTATGAAATGATGTCTTATTTATATATGTTTAGTTCTAGAATGCAAAATGGGATATTTTGAAATATTTATTACACTCGAATTGTCACAAAAAATATTCACTTTTGAAAATTTTAAGTTGAAGTCACTAAGTGTTTGCATCATCCATAAAATTTGAGCAACACAACTACCCATAGCCACATACTCCGCTTCGGCGGTGGATAGGGCGACGGAGTGTTGTTTCTTAGATGACCAAGACACTAGTGCATGACCTATGAATTGACATGTGCCAGTTGTGCTTTTCCAATCAATACGACACCCTCCAAAGTCAGCATCACTAAAACCTATCAAACTTAAATTCATATTCTTGGGATACCATAAACCCATATTGGTAGTTCCTTTGACATAACGAATTATTTGCTTGACGGCATTTAGATGTGATTCTTTAGGTGATGATTGGAAACGAGCACAAAGGCAAACGGAAAACATGATGTCAGGTCTAGATGCAGTTAAATAAAGCAAACTACCGATCATACCTCGATATACCTTTTCATTTACGGGTTTTCTGCTTTCGTCTCTATCAAGCTTCAAGGTTGTGCTCATTGGTGTTGGGTATGTTTTTGAGTCTTCAAGGTTGAACTTCTTGACTAATTCTTTGGCTTACTTGGTTTGGCTAATGAAGATACCATCTCCAAGTTGCTTGAATTGAAGTCCAAGGAAGAAGTTCAACTCACCCATCATACTCATTTCAAATTCGCTTGTCATAATTCCTGAAAATTTATTACATAAGACTTCATTAGTTGACCCAAAAATAATATCATCAACATAAATTTGCACAATTATGAGATCTTTCCCTTTCGTTTTGACAAAAAGTGTGGAATCGATCTTTCCTTTTGCAAATCCATGTGAGATAAGATGTTCGGTAAGCCGCTCATACCAAGCTCTAGGAGCTTGTTTGAGTCCATAGAGAGCCTTATGAAGTTTAAAACATGATTTGGAAAATCAGGTTTTTCAAAACCGGGAGGTTGTTCAACATAAACTTCTTCTTTCAACCACCCATTTAAAAAAGCACTTTTTACATTCATTTGAAAAAGTTTGAAATTAAGAGCACTTGCAAAAGCTAATAACATTCAAATAGATTCAAGCCTAGCAACCGGAGCAAAAGTTTCATCATAGTCAAGTCCTTCAACTTGGCTATAGCCTTTAGCAACAAGTCGACTTTTATTGGTGATAATAACACCATTTTCATCAAGCTTGTTTCTAAAGACCCATTTAGTGCCCACAACGGGTCGGGGTTCCAGTCTTTCGACTACTTCCCAAACCTTGTTGCGTTCAAATTGCTCAAGCTCTAGTTGCATGGATATAATCCAATCACTATCTTTTAGCGCATCTTCTACGTTCTTAGGTTCAAATTGACTAACGAACGCATAGTGTGCACAAAGATTGTAATTGTTCCTAGTTCTAACTCCCTTTTCAATATCTCCAATGATATTTTCTCTCGGATGATTCTTCAAGTGTTTGTAAGCCTTTGGTGGTTCCTTCTTTTCATTTTCTTCTTCTTGTGCAGGAATTTCCAGGATTCCTTCTTCCTGTTCTTCTTCATTTGAACCTGCAATTACCTTATTAGATCCAAAGGGATCGGTTTCATCAAATTTCACATGCATTGATTCTTCTACTTTATGATTTGATTTATTATATACCCTATAGGCTCTACTATTTGTTGAATAACCAAGGAAAATTCCTTCATTTGATTTAGGCTCAAATTTGCCTAAATGATCCTTGGTATTCAAAATATAGCATTTACACCCAAAAACTTTGAAATAGGAAATGTTTGGTTTTCTACCTTTCCAAAGTTCATAGGGAGTCTTTTTAATAATAGGTCTGAGTAATACCCAGTTAAGAACGTAGCATGCCGTGTTGACCGCTTCTCCCCAAAAATATTGAGGTAGGTTGTGTTCATTCAACATGGTCCTTGACATTTCTTGCAACGTCCTATTTTTCTTTTCAACGACTCCATTTTGTTGAGGTGTTCTAGAAGCCGAAAAGTTGTGAGAAATACTGTGTTCATCACAATATGTCTCAAAATCGGTATTCTGGTATTCTCCTCCTCTATCACTTTTAGTAGAGGTTATTTCATGACCTTTCTCATTTTGGATTCTCTTGCACAACTTAACAAACGCATTAAACACATCATCTTTATTGGCAAGTAATATAGTCCAAGTATAACGAGAAAAATCATCTACAATTACAAAAGTAAAACTAGCTCCACCTAGGCTTTGAACGTCTACGGGCCCAAATAAATCCATATGTCATAGTTCAAGTGGCCTTGACGTTAAAACCATTTTTATGGGCTTAAATGATACTTTATGTTGTTTTCCAAGGGAGCAAGCATCACAAAAACGAGAAGTAGGTATGCACATTTTTGGTAGCCCAACAACTAGTTCTTTTGAGTTAAGTTTTCTCAAAAGCGAAGTAATGTCCTAGTTGGCTTATGTCCTAGTCTACGGTGCCATAATGTTGAAAATTCAAGTGAAGTAGTGAGACAAGTGATTTTTGAGTTGCTTAAGTCATTGGAATTGAACTTGTATAAATTTCCATCTCTTTTAGCCTCAAAAATGATTTCATCTTTATTTTGGCCATATAAAACGCAGGAATTTGCATTAAACTCAATTTTGTGGCCATTGTCACAAAGTTGGCTTATGCTAATTAAATTAAATTTTAGGCCATCAACAATATAACATCATTATTGAAAAATCACTTGAAATACCTATCATGCCTTTACCAATGACTTTCTTCCGGGATTTGTCTCCAAGGGTCACATGTCCATGACTTTTCTCCTTGAGATTTGTGAATCATCCTCTTGTTTCGGTCATGTGCCTTGAACATCCACTATCCACAACCCAAGTGGTATTTTTCACCTAGTCAAAACGGAATTTACTTTTGACTTAGTTTTGGGGTTCCAATCGACGAATACCCTATGTCGATATACAAGTTTTGTCTTGGTTGGTTCCAGAAGTGGTATATGGACTTTTCGTTTTTCATCATAATAAAAGAAATAGTATCCACCATCATTTCTTTTATTTTCCTGCAAAAAGGGTTTCTTTTGATATCCAATATTCTTAGATTCCGACCGGTTAGAACCCTTCTTTGCCCATTTTAATTTATGCATTTCAACTAACCATTTGTTTGGACACTTTGTCACAATATGGTTAGCTTGCATGCAATAATGGCAAGCCTTTACTTTTGATTTAGAAGTTGAGGCTTGGTTTGATGGATTAGTTTTTGAGGTATTAAAATGATTTTTAGCCATGCTCATCAAATTTGTGGTTTCACCATAACCAATGCCTTCTTTTGTTAATTTTGGTCGGTCATCTCACATCTTCATTGAGGTATAGCTATCATAAAACATTTCCAAAGCCCTCGCTTGGCCTTGTCTTTTTCTTTAATCAAAATTTCAATTTTCTTTTGAAATTCTTCATTTTGGTTTTGAAGATTCTCAAGATTAAGTTTTAAATTTTTGTTTTCATCACGAGAAGTTTCAAGAGCCATCTTGAGTTCCTTTTTCTCCCTAATGGTTCAAAAAAGGTCCTCTTGACATTCATCAAACGCTTGCCTTAACTCATCAAAAGTAATTTGACTTTTAAAAAAGGTAAATGAATTTTGGGAACTAACCTCTTCTTCATCGTTTGATTCCATGAAGCAAGCATTTGTGTTTTCTTCTTGGCTTTGGTCAGTATCACTTTTGTCCGAGTTTAAATCATCCCGAGTGACATTTAGTGCCTTCTTCTTCCCCTTTTTAAGCTCTTCCTTCTTTTTGAGCTTTGGGCACTCCGGTTTGATGTGTCCTACATTTCCACACTCATAACACGTTATTTGATTAGATTTACCTTTCTTTGGTGGAAATCGTTTTGAGGATTCGCCCTTGTTCCATTTCATAAACTTTTTGTATCTCTTGAACATGGCAAGCTCCTCATCACTTTCTCCTTCGCTCTCCCGATGGTCATCAGTTTTGAGTTCCATGGTCTTCTTGATGATAGGAACCTGTTCTTCTTCCTTCATTTTCTTCAAAAGAAGCTCGTGAGAGTATAGGCTGCTCCAAATGGTGGAGGTTTCAACATCCGCACATTTGGGCAATAAGTTTATAACAAGACTATGCCACTCTCTAGGAAGAGAGAATATAATCTTGGTGTTAATCTTACTAGTAGGATAAACTTTATTTAGCTTACTCAAATTGTTGATAATGAGGTTGAATCTTTTGTTCATATCTTGAACGGATTCTCCGGCCTTCATCTTGAAGTTTTCATACTTGGATGTTCCTAAAGCTATCTTGGTAGCTTTTGTGTCTTTATCTCCTTCATGGGTGGCTTCTAAGAGCTTCCATGCTTCCTTTGCGGATTTGCAATAGCTCACTCTAGCAAACTCATCTTGACCCAAGGCACAAAACAACACGTTTAATGCTTTGGCATTCAAGGAGAGTTTTTTCTTGTCGTCGGTTGTGAGCTTGTCCATTGGCTTAGGCACTTGGTGTTCACCTACAGTTGTCATAGGAACAAATGAACCATGAGTAGTGACTATCCATAAAACATAGTCAATAGATTGAATGAAATTCTCCATTCGCATTTTTCAATAGCCATAGTTATCCCCATTGAAGAATGGTGGCTTGGTAATGCTTTGGGAGTTCATTGAATCCATGTGTCATAAAAAGAATTAATATATGAGTATGAAAGGATCAAACTTCCTGCTCTGATACCAATTGAAAGTCGGTTTACACCCTAAGAGGGGGGTGAATTAGGGTGTTTGGAAGTTTTTCGTAAAAACAAAAACTTATGTGCAAAGTAGTAGCGGAAAAAGAGCAAGAAAAGTATAAAAGATAAAAATACGACACAAGGAATTTTATACTGGTTTAGGAATGCCCTACTCCAGTACCTCGAGGCTCCTCCTCAAGGATTTAACCTCCACTAACTTGTTTGGCTTCACTAAGAAGACTCAAACGAGGTTTGGCAAACAACCCTTGCCAATAAGCAAATGAGGTTTTACTACGGCTATCTCAACCGTTTACAACTGAAGATTTTAAGGCTATCTTCAACCTTACAATGAGAATTTAAAGGCTATCCACACCTCTTACAAATCAATAAAAGATTGATGTTGCTTCTCTACCAATATAATAACAAATATGAATTGGGTAGGAGAAGAACAAAAGATTAAATCAACAACAACAAAAGTCTATAGGCAAGATTTAAAATAATGAATCACAAATACCCTTGTGTGTGAGTGTATAAAAATAATGAAAGCTTTTTACTGAAAAGAGTAATAAAAATAAGAACAAAGCTTTAGGAACACTCAAGAATAGAGAAAGAGGCTTTAGATTTAATTGGGAAGTTGTTGTTTATAAAATGAGACTTAGATGGGGTTTATATAGGAGTTTGGAATGTTAAAATTTAAGTTTTAAACGTTAAATGCCGTTAGGAAGTGATTATGGGTGATTTGAATTTAAATTGGCAATTTGCTACAGTGCTGGTAATGGATACGGTACCCTTCACGGTAGGGTCAGTACCGCCCGGTACCTAAGAACCATGACCACGGTACTGAAAGGTAACCATGCAAGGTTATGCAGCGGAATATAAAAATTTTGACATCCTAACATGATTATCTTGCCCAGAATCACGTACTAAAACTTATAGTGAGTAAGAAATCCAAAAGATAATCTTCTCACCTTTTAAATTGCAATTGTCGTGTAATCAATTAAGTAGAAAACAAAAGATTTCAAAGTTATTAATTAAACTTTGTCATTTAGCTAAAGGATAAAAATTAACTAGCCAATTAATTATCAATCAAGGAAAGTGATTCTCAAAATTCTTATGATGGCCGAAAATTTTCTTTGTGATTGTGAGAAGGATTTTCAAAATTCTTCTCCAGTTCAAAGTGTATTTTATTTGACACCAAAAATTAATATAAAATTAATTTTAAATCAAATAAAATACCAATATCATTTTTTAAACAAATATAAAAATATACTTTAAATAGTTTATGTCAGAATAATTATTTTCATAATTAAAATGACAAACCAAAATAAAATATTCAAGATAATATATATATATATATATATATATATATATATATATATATATATATATATATATATATATATATATATATATATATATATATATATATATATATATATTATTTATATATATATGTGTGTGTGTGTGTGTGTGTATATATATATATATATATATATGATAAGTCCTTTTCGTTCTTATCATTTACATCATATTCTAAACGTTATTGCACGTAAATAGTATTTAATCATCTCATAAAATGTGATTTTAATGGATAAAACTCTAATTTTCGTTCTAAGAGTCATAAAATGGGATTCCACGTGAAATCATTTTAAATCATCCATTTATGTTCAAATACTTGAGAAAAAGGGAATAAATCATCAAAGGATCAAGATTCGGGCTTGAACGAGCTTCCGGGAGGTCAAAAACAGTGTTCGGGGCCAAAACGGAGCGAAATTGGGCCAAAATCACGAAACAGCCGCGAAGCCCAACGGACCAAGGCCTCAAGGCGTCCAACTTGGACGCTTGGGAGTTGGTCGCTTTGGCTTAATTGCAGCCCAAGAATGACACGTGGCAAAATCTGGTTGGCCGGGACAGCTCAGGCGTCCAGATCTGGACGCTTGGACTTGGACGCTTTGACTTGGACGCTTTGGCTTCGTTCCTATAAATACAGCACGATTCTTTTCATTTTTATCATCTATTCTCAACCCAATTTCGGGTTCCCCTCTCTCAATTGCTTAAAATACTTTGTATATTAGTTTTAGTAGTAGTTTTAAAGTATTTTCCGGAGGTTTTGACTCCAGATCTGTTCTGTTCCGCTTTTACGGAGGTTGTAAGTTGTCTTTATTTAATGATGTTTTAATTCATGTTTGCATAGTATGAGTTAGGGTCCGGATCTCTGGGTCCGGACTAGTTTGGTTGTTTATTTTTGATGTTAAATTAATGTTGGAATGGTTAGTCAATTGCTCTTGCCTTATTTAGTTAATTAATGTCGAAAGATTTAATTAGCTATTTATTGAGAAAATATTGTATGCCAAAAGGCTACGATATTCAAGAACAACGGATTAAGTACAAATCTAGAAATGGATGAGTAGTAATAGAAATATTATTATTCCAATTGTTAATTTAATATGATAAAATAGATCCAAATGATGTCCAGACCCTAGGTCCAGATCTATACTTATACTATGTAAACTAAATTTATTATTTTTACTCTGCTCCCTTTTTATTCGTTNTTGAGAAAATATTGTATGCCAAAAGGCTACGATATTCAAGAACAACGGATTAAGTACAAATCTAGAAATGGATGAGTAGTAATAGAAATATTATTATTCCAATTGTTAATTTAATATGATAAAATAGATCCAAATGATGTCCAGACCCTAGGTCCAGATCTATACTTATACTATGTAAACTAAATTTATTATTTTTACTCTGCTCCCTTTTTATTCGTTTCGAGAAGACTTTCATAAACCAATCCTAATCTTCGCCTAGTTAGAGTAATTAAACTAATTCCCTTCGTCCACTCCTCGAGAGATACGACACTCGGAGAGAAAACTAACCCTTTGTTGGGAAGGTTTACTACCCGAAAAACTACGACTGTCAATATATATATATATATATATATATATATATATATATATATATATATATATATAATCACTGGAGTTATCCATAATAATTATTACGGGTGGTTGGTGAAGAAGAAGTGAGAAGATCGTTCTAACCAATCTTCACCCAAGCTAATCAGAAGAAATTAAACTAATGCCGTGCCACTCCCCGGCAATGGCGCTATTTGACATTTGTAGTTTTTCGGGTGTAACCTTCCCAGTAAAGGGTTGGTTTTCTTTCCGAGTGTCGTATCTCTCGAGGAGTGGACGAAGGGAATTAGTTTAATTACTCTAACTAGGCGAAGATTAGGATTGGTTTATGAAAGTCTTCTCGGAACGAATAAAAATGGAGCAGAGTAAAAATAATAAAACAAGTCTACATAGTATAAGTATAAATCTGGACCTAGGGTCTGGACATTATTTGGATCTATTTTATCATATTAAATTAATAATTGGAATAATAATATTTCTATTACTACTCATCCATTTCTAGATTTGTACTTAATCCGTTGATCTTGAACATCATAGCCTTCGGCATACAATATTATATCAATAAATAGCTAATTAAATCTTCCGATGTTAATTAACTAAATAAGGCAAGAACAATAGATTAACCATTCCAATATTAATTTAACATTAAAAATAAACAACGAAACTAGTCCGGACCCAGAGATCCGGACCCTAACTCATACTATGCAAACATAAATTAAAACAGCATTTTATTAAATAAAGAAAACTTACAACTTCTGAAAAAGCGGAACAAAACAGATCTGGAGTCAAAACCTCCAAAAATACTTCAAAACTAACTACTACAACTATACTACAAACTATAATGGAGATTGGAAGAGTAAATCTCGAAGTTGGGATGAAGTTGGATGATAAAAATGAGAGAGATCGCTCTGTATTTATAGGAACGGAGCCAAGGCGTCCAAGTCCAAGCGTCCAGATCTGGATGCCTGAGCTGTCCCGGCCAACCAGATTTTTCCACGTGTCATTCTTGGGCTGCAATTAAGCCAAAGCATCCAACTCCCAAGCGTCCAAGTTGGACGCCTTAGGCCCTTCTCTTGTTGGACTTCGCGGCAGGTTTGTGATTTTGGCCCAATTTCGCTCCGTTTTGGCCCCGAACACTGTTTTTGACCTCCCGGAAGCTCGTTCAAGCCCGAATCTTGATCCTTTGATGATTTATTCCCTTTTTCTCAAACATTTGAACATAAAATGGATGCTTTAGGATGATTTCATGTGGAATCCCTTTTTATGACTCTTAGAACGAAAATGAAAGTTTTATTCATTGAAATCACATTTTATAAGATGATCAAATACTATTTACGTGCAATAACGTTTAGAATATGATGTAAATGATAAGAACAAAACAGACTTATCAAATTCCTCACACTTAAACGTTGCTTGCCCTCAAGCAACAAATTGAATAATTACAAGTATAAAGGCAAATTAATAATTGCAGAGGGAAGGTTTAAGCTACATATTATGAAGGAAAGAAGAAATAAGATAGTCATCAACCTTTTTTGTTAAGAATAAATGAACCTTTAGATTCTCACCCATATTGTTAGAAATGTAAAGAGTAAATTCTATAATTGGTCCTTTATAACAGGGGGGTTTCCCTATTTAGTCCTCTATTATCAAATATTACCTAAGTGGTCCTTCTTTTATGAGTACCTTTCCACAAATAGTCCTTTTTTTGATCTTCTATCATGATGGTATTAATTTGAGGGCTAAAAGTGTAATTTCACAATGATAATATATCTTTTTTGTCTTACACAATTCCAAAGGCTGTTCCGTTTGCGTCGTTTGTGAATTACAGTCGCTTTTTACGACAACTATAGTCTACAAATGTGATCTTTCGTCAGAATCCTAGCCCACAAACACAGTCATTATTTTTGTGTTATCCGCTTAACCAATATCAGAACACGTCACTAGACATAATGTTGACGTCAAATTATAGGTTTAGCCTTTAATTTAACACCAACACGGCAGAAGATCAAAAAAAGGACCATTTGTGGAAAGATACCCTTAAAAAAAAGACTACGGGGGTAATATTTGATAATAGAGGACTAGATATGGAAACCCCCTGTTATAAAGGACTAATTATGGAATTTACTCAAATGTAAAAGAATTTTGTCAAACCAATATTTTTACACCAACCTAAACAACCATAATTTTCCAAACTTTCTTTGGGATAACAACATTTGTAAGAGTACTTTAAAGATCAAATAATTTTTTTTATGACTAAATTGGAAAACATGTTCTTGCAAAAGTATTTGTCAAAGTGTAAGGGTTTAATTTTCTTTGGCATAACTTTGTCATGTTGACATGAGAAAAATTATAACCTCATCCCGTGACATGGATGATGTACCCCTGGATGGCTCCACCAAAACCCAAACCTCTCCCAACATATCCAAAAGTATTTTATCTTTTATTTTATCCAAAATAAAGTCTTCCCCATCCATTTTGAAGCCTTGGACGAAAATGAGACCAAAGAAGACAAAATAAAACCTTAGTTTCTTGTTTTTATCTTTTAAAACTTTTGTTTGTTTCTTTTAAAGTCCCTTTACCAAAATAATGTCTTTCCTATTTATTTCCTAAAACTAAGGACGAAATTCTCTACCATTTTTCTCCCCAAAATCAGGCCTAAATCACCACACAAAACAAAAGGGCAAAATCAGCAAAGAAGTCTTTGATTGAATAGTAACTTCTTGTCCTATTATTCACTTAAAGTCAAGCCATGTTGTTTCCTTTGTGTTGAACCCATATGGCCGAATTGTTCCCATCAAAACAAGCCAAATTCAATCCCCAATGCTACCTAAAACATCTTGTTGCCAAATTCAATCCCCAATGCTACCTAAAACATCTTGTTGTGATTCCCCCACTTAAGGCCGAATGGACAGCCCCAAACCAAGCCAAAAATAATCCACCCAAATTTCTTGTTTTCTACCTTTTATTGAATAAACCCCTTTGTCCTTTTTCTTTACTAAAAACCAATCCTAATCACCTCCTTATTCTTTTCCCTAATGGCTGAAACGCAGCTTCCAAATAAAGCCAAAACAAATCCTCCACTATCCCTTATCTTTGTCATGGAATTCAAATCATTTGTATGGTAGTGTATTAATGTCAAAGCATGTGAATGATTAGGAAGAAGATAGGAAGTTTCCCTGTTGTATTTATCTTCATTTGATTGTATTTCCCCTTCCCTTCCCCTGTATATATTTCGGCCATGAGCCATTGTAAAACGGCAGATTATTGAATGAAAAGTTTGTGTTACTCTTTGAGTAATTTCATTAAAATAGTGTGATGCTATTTTAGCAAAATTTCCTAATGAAATATCTCTAAAGTTGGCTACTTTTGAGTGTGTGTTAGGAGTCTAATTTTATACATTAGTAGTGATTATTAATGTGTAAAAGAAGATAAAAGCCCCAAGTTAAGATAAGAGTGTCATATCTCTTAACACCAACTTGGTTTATCCCTTCACTTTATTTCTGCCCATTTCATTCCTCTCCATTTTCTCTTCCTAAACCCCATTCTATTCTATCTTCATTAATTAAAAACACCAAAGAGTGTGTCTATATTTGACTTTGTTTGCTAAAAATTGGTAAACTTTAATCTCAAATTAGATAAAAATGATATTAGATATTGATACAAAAATAGTTTTATTAGATTTATAATACTCCCTCTGTCCCGTGAAACATGAGAGTTTTGCTTTTTGGGAGTGATTTAAAGGTAGTGTATTTTGGTATTGAATTTTCAAAAATGTCCTTTGATGTGATGGGTAAAAGTATGATTTGATGGATAGATAATTAGTAAAGAGGTATGATGTGATAGGTATGGTATGAAAAAGTAAAGAGTAAAAGTAACTTTTTAATAGAAATGAGAAGTGTTTTGTGGGACGGATGAAAAAAGAAAAGAGAAAGGTTTTATAGGACGAAGGGAGTATCAAATATTTTCAAAATATTATTTTATTTAATTGATATACATTATATATTTTATTTAATACGGAGTAATATGTTAAAAGTTGAAAATAGGGGTGGGAAAGAACTGACAAATACGGACGTAGTATGTCATGAACATTGAGTACAGTTGCTGACCTGGTCGTCACCACATTCGACAAGGCAGATTCATCCATTAAATTTTGATTATATAATCCCAAAAAAAGCAATTGTTTAATAAATACGTGTAGGAGTTTATAAATCTATTCTTGGACCCGAACTAGGAATATTAATTCCATTTTAAACTGGAAATCTAATACATGCATATGTGAACCCTAGGTTTTAATGCTGTGTGAGCGCTGTTGGTTGACTGCTGTCCATTTCAACTCGTCAGTGAGTTCATCGCAATAAAGAAGATGTATGAACCGAAATGAGACATTTCTTTATCTGCAATTAATAATGAGTGGTTCTACGTCAGTCTAGCCATAATTAAGCACGTACTATATGTACTTCATTGTAGACATATAGGGGACACTTCTCATCACCTCCATACATGCAATAACATGCAGTAACTATTCAAAATCAATTTAACACCTGCAGCCATCTGTTTTACCAGCTGACTTAAGTTCGTACTCGGTATTTGTCTGTGAAGTTTGTATGATTAGTATGATAGGACATGAAAAAATGCTTCTTTTTAAATGCTCTGGGGAAGAGTGGTCAATCCAGAAATTTAGATAGTTGGAACACAGAGCCCGATCCTGAAAATTCATATGCCTAGGCCGAAACAGAAAAAATGACTTAAAAATTTTATCCCTAATGATATACTATCTCCGTCCCTAAAAACCTTTCTTCTAATTTCTTTTTTCATTCGTCTCAAAAAACACTTCTCATTTCTATTAAAAAATCATTTTTACCCCTTATTTTTTCATACTCTATCTATCACATTATACCTCTTTACTAATAATCTATTCATCAAATCATACTTTTACCCATAACATCAAAGCACATTTTCAAAAATTCAATACTCCGTACCAAAATACACTCCCCTTAAATCCTTCTTCAAAATCAAAACTCCCATGTAAACTAATTAACTTAACGTATGTAAATTAAACTAATTATATTTAAATGATAATTAATACTATATTATTAGGAAAAAATGATAAAATTATAGTATTATAATTACATACCCCAAGCAAAAGCTAGTCGAGGATTCGAGAAGTTCTCCTTGCATTCTTGAGAGCAAATTAGTTGATCACATCTTCGCAGTCTATACTCTCTAAGATTTCATTCTCGATAGCTATTATCGCCAATCCGCTAAATTTTTCTTTTTTGACTACCAGATAATTGTTTAAGAGCCATAGCTATTGAATTATTTCTGAAATAAAACCAAATTTCATAAATTCTACTACTAAGTTACCTTAGTAAAATCAAATATGAAAAACCGAAAAAGCAAGCAAATAAATAAATATATCATTAATTCATATCAATTCATCAATTTTTTTTAATTGTTTTTTTCTTTTTAATTTTTAATTTTTTTTTATAAATCATAAATCCATATCAATTCGTCAATTTATCAGGTTTTAAATTTTTTTTTTGGTTTTTAGTTTTTTAATATAAATATATCATAAAAAAATTTAAATCAATTCATCCAAATCAAATAAATAACATATAAAACCATTAGATCATTCTATTTTAAAGAATGAAATTAGAAAATATTTCAAATTAAAAACTAATCATAGACCTTAGATTATATTTTAAATCTAAAAAATGAAACAATGAAAGAAAATTAAGAAATAAAAATTACAAAAGTTGGAAAGCTATGTATTATTGAATATGGAATACCTGGAGGGTGGAGGTCGGCGTCCGGTGGCGTCGTTTGTTAGAGGCGGTGTCTTTCTTTGGCTATGCCCCTTCTTCGGCACTCGGCAATTTAGCTCCTTTGCGCCTCTATCGATGCTTTCTATTTTTATCTATGTGGTAGAGTAAGTGAGTAAGGGAGTGGATTGGGCCTTAAATGGGGTGGGTTTCTTACATACATACATACATACATACATACATGCATACATCCATACATACATGCATGCATCCATGCATGCATGCATGCATCCATACATACATACATACATACATACATATATATATATATATATACATATATATATATATATACATACATATATATATATATATGTATGTATGTATATATATATGTATATATATATATATATGTGTGTGTGTGTGTGTGTGTGTGTGTGTGTGTGTGTGTGTATGTATGTATATATATATATATATATATATATTATAAAAATATTTTTTTATTAAAAATAAAGAAGTACAAGAAGAAAGCAGAGGGGTGGCCCAGCCCCAACAAAGGACCAAACGAAAAGAAACACAAATATCATAAGAGAGTATCACAAAGCCAAAACAAAGAGGCCATACACTAAAATTCAATAGCAATCCAGCGAGAGAGGTTGCAAAGTTGTCAAGCATCATTTCCTGAAATGTAAGAGCTACCCTTTTCCTGCAAGCTAGTCTCCCTGTTCAAGAGAAGCTCAAATTACAGCCTAACCTCCAACCTCAAAGCCCAATTCTTGCCCAAAGCAGGCCCCTATAATGAATCAAGCTGATGTCCTTGGCAGATCTGCAAATTTCCTTGAATCCAATAGATGTCCCCATTGACCCATTCATTCAGTCATGTTGTTTATTGAGTGTTGTTTTCCTGAGATGTTACAGACTGTTTGTAGTACTTCCAAGTACAGCAATATCCTCCATGAATCTGCTCATCAAAATCAGTCTCCAGTAGCTATTAGAGAGTTGCAGCCCCAAAAACCTATTATAATCATAAAGAAGTTCCCTAAAACAAGGAAACCCTTAACGAGTAAAGACCTTGATGCCCTTTCGAATCCTTTCCACAGTTAAGAAGAAGAAACCATAGAATATAGAAGAATATATTGTCTCAAGTAGTCCATCATCAACAAGCAACAAACCGTAGTTAAAGAATCCCTAGTAGTCCTCACTGTCATTCATAATCGATGAGATGTTCACACAAGGATGTAATGATAGGTTCATCAATGTTGGCACAAGATAGGAGGACTGGATGTCGCGTACCTTTCAACTTGATTGCCCTAATGCATTGTGCGCTCTTCATAGCGTCCCTTGTAGCTTTTATTGCCTTACCCTGGAGTGTTTTCACCAGACCCTTCTGAATCTTTTCTATGACGAAAGGCGAGCGCAATGCTTCCTTAATTATCCAAAGAGATTGCTCAAAGTTGTTATATCCGGGCATGCCCTGCCCAAACTCATGGATGTGCCACAAGTGTTCAAACAAATCAAGGGATTTATGGTTAAGTGTTATAATCCTTATTGGGTTGATTTAAGTCCTTTCTTCCATTCAAGAACACCAACCAGCACCCTTGTTGTTTTCAAACCCCCTTGGCTGCCCCAACCATGTCCAAATCCACCCTAAACATCCAAAATTCATTGCCACTTAATTCCTTTCCACGTAAAGTTTTCCCTACTCTTCTTATTTTAGCCCATGGCCAAAAATAAGGGTGTGTAAAATAAAACTTTTTGTTTATTGTTATTTTCCTTCTTTTAAGCCTTTTATTAAACAAATAACACCCTCCCTCTATTCCATTCACCCCTGGCCAAAATACACTTCACAATCCCACCATAAACACCCACAAAGAGCCAAAACCCTGACCCACCAGGCCACTAGCCACTCATTTCCTGCCCATATTCCCTTACACATAACCCAAACCTATAAGTCCAAAAACCACACATTATATCCCCCATCCCTGCCCCTTTATTAGCCAAAAACAACCCCCATTTTTACCTAAATAATAGCCACAAAAACCCAGGAAACAACCACTAGGAACCAAAACACAAACCCCCACAACCCCCAGCCCCATCCCTGATTTTATCCCACTAAGGAGACAGGTTTGAATGGAGAATGCCCCATGCTTTGACAGAGGATGTTGCTAGGAAGTTTCCTAATGTCTACATTCAATGTATTGTGCTTTTCTTCCCCCCTTC